TTGAACAACGTCATGGTCGCTACCTTACCTTGCGCATTTGTCATGCTAAACATGTACGCCCTTTTCGGTGCTGTTATCTCATCTACGGCAGCCATCATTGTCTGTAACGATTACAATAAACTGCTATTCAGAAATAGAAGTAAATCGCAAAGAAAATGACAAGCTGAACCTTTAAGGAAGAAACTAATAAAACAAACGGAAAGGGAAAGGGTGAGAAAAAATTAACCCAGGCCAAACCTGTGATATTGTCGCTGATGCCATATTTCCAGTTAGGAATGGATTTTTTTCCACTTTTGGAGCATCGTCAACTCCAACTGCTGGGATAATCCTGAATGGCTAGGGGAAATGGAAGATATTACAAGTAAGTTTATGTTATGAGGAATTAAGTTCACTTATACAGTCAAAAATCTTTAATAAACCCTTACCTAATTGGTATATGCATAAGTTTAATCGGAGCTCGAACATGTTGCACTGCCACAGTAATTCGGTTCAAATATCTCACCAAATGACCCCGAAATGATGGTGGCACCTCGTGCATGGGAAGAGGAATCTGAATTGCTTTGAAGATCAAAGAAGATTTCAAAAAGGAGACTAACGGGCTACCTCGCAGTTAAACTGACGAGACTCCCCATGACTAAGTTCGACGTCACAGAACAATACATTCGGTTTTGAAGAGTAAACGGTAGAAGCACTTCGAGATATGGCTGTAGTGGGCCGATCCCGAAAAGCAACGTGAGCTCCCATAGTGCGTTCTGGGAATAAGTAGTTTATTGCTTTAAATCTCATAAAATATGAGGGAACCGCTAACTACAGGAGAAGGAAAGTATAGTAGCTACAATATAGTAAAGCTCTACATAATAGAGCAAAGAAGAGTGAGATGAAAAAAATTAGAACAGAACGAAACATTACCTAAATAATACATTGAAATTACAGATAAAAAAGCAACTCACCACAAGTCAACTGAACACTGCCCCATGCCAAGGATTCACGTCCTTTGGGAGCCAAATTCTTC